CTAGAAAATATTATCTGCGCTTGATCGACATACAAAATTGTGTCTTCAAGTAGCTCTTCAAGTATGTCTTTCGTCGCTTACACTGCGATGCGTGCGAAGATTCTGCCGGAGCCTTTCGATTGCGTCTACACAAGCGTCTACATCGAGCCTCTGGCCTCGAGGCTACTATTTACCAGTAGCAGGTTCTGTGCTCGATTTTCTAGTATCTCCCAAAAAATCCCCGGATCTCGCAGACAACTGGGTTTCATCAAGTGTGACAATCGTCTGATCCTGGATATTCCTGAGCAGCATCGTCCTGCAAGGGGGTAAAGGCTCACATCGTTTTCATCAGAATGATAAGTTAACTATTCATGCCTAACATTTAGCTCAGGGTGTACAATTGGATCTAGAGAAGGAAATGGTCATGCAGTTCTGATCGAAGGCGACCACTTTGTGCGATACATGGATCGACATGCACCTTGGCATGCGTCGCAAGCATCACGCCGCTTCGTAACATCATCGGTATACCTCTGATATGCCTGTCTCTGATGACTTCTGTTTAGGCAACCATTCCATTCACATCCACGCGAATAATGGGAGCCTTGAGCTACTTTCCACATACAAGAATTTTCCATTTTACTGCCGACGATTTGGAATCAGCACATTGGGTCTTGCTGTGGGCTGTGCTTGTACAAATCCCAGATAAGCGGTGGGTCGGTACACCTCAAGAATCCTGGAAACAGAAACTCTCGGAGGACGATCCTAAACTAAATTGGGATGGCAAGCTCCTTATATCCATGATCATACGAGAGTGGGGACCAACTATCACTTCGGGTGACAGTCCTGAGCTCCCCAGCAACGCCATGTTGCCATTCGCCGCTCTCTTGGGTCAGCTGTTCACGATCACTCATAGAGCTACTCAGGAGGTTAAATCGCTTTTGAGAAGGCCAGCTGCACCCTCCCCACGCCAGATTATAGAAATGTCGCGGAGGCACTACAAAGAATGGCTCGAAATCATGCTGGATCTGGATATTCCTGATCAACGTCATTCTGCAAGGAGGTAATAAAGGCTCACGTCGGTTTCATCGGAACCATATGCTACTGATTGATGCCTGATATTTAGATCAGGGTGCTCAATTGGATATGGAGAAGGAAATTATGATGCAGTCTCGATCGAAGGCGATCACTTCGTTAGGTGCATGGGTCGACATGCACCTTGGCATGTGTCGCAAGCATCATGCCGCTTGGTAACATCAAGGGTGTACCTCTGATATGCCTGTCACTAATTATTTCTGCTTAGGGGACCATTCCATTCACATCCACGCGAATAATGGGAACCTTGAGCTACTTTTCCGATGAAAGAATCTTTTATTTTACTGTCGACGATTTGGAATCAGCAAATTGGGTTTTGCTGTGGGCCGTGTTTGTACGAATTCCAGACAAACAGTTGGTCGGCCCTCTTCAGGAGTCTTGGAAACAAAAACTCTACCAAAACAATCTCCAACCGAATTTCGAGGGCAAGCTCTTTATATCCATGGTTATACTGCGGTGGGTATCACCTTACACTTCTATGAAAGGTATTTACCGCCCCGGCGATGCATTGTTGCCATTCGCCGCTCTCTTCAACCAGCAGTTCACGATCACTGATCGAGCTATCCGGGAGATTGAATTGCTCTTGGACAGGGAAGCTGAACCTCCCCGTCAACCACTCTGGAAGTGTCGCGGAGGCACTGCAAAGAATGGTTTGAGACCATGTTAAATCCTAGAGTTGCCGTCCCCGAGTTTGGGTAATCAGTTGGTTGGCTTGTGGGTCCGGAATGGAGGCGGTGAGGGTCAGTTGTGAAGGGGGGGTTTTGAAGGGAGAAACAAAGTGCTTATGGGCTATGCAGTATTGTATAGAATAACGGCGGGCGAGGTAGTCGAGTTGGAAGAATGCTATATTTCACAGGGCTGAGTAACTGGATGTCGCGACCCAGGTTCAACTCAGTCAAGCCTCCGCACTGGGGGTGTTGGAATATAACAGACGACCGGCCCGATGAGACCGTCCCGCCGGTGAGCGAGTCGTAGTCTCTCCTTGTACACGCCGAACTGACCATCTCAGCCCTTGGGTAAGCCTTCGCGCAAGCCCTTGGGGTGACGCTCCATCCCATCGGATCGAGGTAGTGGTTACTAGGTGAGGGAGTCTGGGATTCTCGTTTGTCTCTTTTGTTGCCCGATTACATTCCTATTCTTTTCGACTTGACTCTGATGCAAATCCATGACTCACGAGCTTCATAAATTCCACCAATTTATTCTAAGACACAAAATCCGACCTGTTGTGCTACCTGGGCGTATTACAGTATGGCTGAAATGAAAGCTGTCAGAAGTCTAAGAGTAGGCATGGCATTACTAGTATTTTGGACATTTCGCGGCAAACCATCGCGCTGTCTGCCCGACGTTCTCTCCCAGCGCTAGCATAGCCAGCATTCAAGCTAATATATCTCTGACGCACCAACAACACGAGTCCCAAGCCCTCTCTGTATTTTCCCGGATCAATTCACCAATATACGTTCAGCGGCCAATATGATCAAATAATCCCGATCCTGACTGCGGTCAGGGGTCAAAGCCTCAAAGCAGCGCAGTCGACGACCTTGCATTGAGAACTGAAGCTGCGAGCTGCGGCTGTTGAGCTAGGGCTCTGCTATAAAAGATTCTCCTGGTGAAAGGTCCAGATCGACATCCGTCATGTATTCTTGGCCCTTCTCCATAGGCAACACTATCTGCGCCGTGATCTTCGGTTGGACGTTGTACTTCGGTTCAAAACAATTTCGACTATGGCGCATCCGTAGAAGCGGTACTCGATTAGGAGGACCTACGACATGGAATTTCTTGACTGGTTTTCTTCTTGGACTGATAGACGATTACACTGGCGCCGTGAACGAGGAAAGGGCTAAGAAATACGGCTTGGTGTACAAAGTACCATTGGGATTAGGAGTCGAGATCATCGACATACATGACCCTGTTGCAGTTGCTCATACACAGGCCCGAGAGGGGCAGAATTACGGGTACAGCAAGTCCAATAAGAAGGGCCTCGAGAAGCTGGTGAGCAATCCTCGCATTGTGCTTCTCTGCCTATCCAGTCCTGATCCACTTTCAATAGATCGGGAAGAGTCTACTTTGGGCCGAAGGAGACCTACATAAGAAGTATAGCTACTCTGCCTTGATTCCAACTCTCGCTGACTTCACTTATCAGGCAACGCAAGATCATGTCGCCTGCTTTCAACACCTCTGCGATCCGATCATTCTCACAGACTTTTTTCGATAGCGGACACAAGGTGAGGCGGCGCGCTTGATTATTACCTCCGATAACAATCTGACGTGCTGCAAACAGTGCAAAGCAGCATGGGATGCGATTATCCAGAAAGCGGGTTCGGGCGATGAAGCTGTCATTGATGTTGAAGAATGGTGAGTCTTTCCGCGGCCAGTTTCCGGTTCTAATTCACCAATGGTTTCCCTGTCAAAGGATGTATGCTACTAGTATCGATAGCTTGGGGATCGCTGGCTTCTCTCACGATTTCGAGAGTCTTCGCGGCAAGAAGAGTGTGTTAGCGGAAACATTCGAATCTCTCGCCGACTTCAAACCCGACCCGCTCCTTCTCTTCCTGATCATACTCTCCGTACTCATTCCTCCATTGAGGGACTTCCCCACGGAGCGCACAAGAGGAATCCAACGGATATGTGATATCTTAGGAAAGATCGGCGAAAAGTTGTTGCAACAATCCAGAGGCCAAGGTGCTTCGAAGGAGAGGGAGGCTGATCGATCAATCATCGGAATGCTGCGTTCGTTATCCTTTCGAACACTCCTTGTAGTTCAAGCTAACGCCAATCCCAGTCCGTGCTGAGGAGTCTTCTTCATTCTCCGATGGGGATGCTCAGGAACAGGTCTGTACTAGCGATCGTCGAGTTCAGCAGACCTCTCTGACGTTGCCCCAATTTTAGATGAAACTTCTCATACTTGCCGGTTATGAGACTACTGCTCGTAAGTCTACCTCTCTGTCAGTAAGAGCAATGTCTGAGCTTCCTGCTAGTCAATATGACGGTAAACTCAGAACGCAATTCTACGACCGTATGTCGTCCCTGATTACGCTTTGCAGTGGACTCTCTGGGATCTGGCAACGAATCCGGAAAAGCAGAGCAAACTGCGCGAGGAATTGAATCAGCTCGGACAAGAACCGACCTTTGAACAACTCAATGGCGATGCGCTTCCGTATCTTGACGCCGTCGTCAAAGAGGCGTTGCGACTCCATCCTCCGCTCCCAAACCTCGGCAGACAGGCAAGTATTGTTGAGCAGATCCTACCCGGGGTTGGGCTAATGGATCATCGATAGTGCAAGGTGGAAGATGTTGTCCCCCTATCGGAGCCCCTCAAACTCCCCGACGGCAAGGTTGTGGATCACATCGTGATCCCAGTTGGTGCCAATATCAATATTCCAGTGGCGGCCATCAATCGATCCGAGAGGTTCTGGGGTCCTGATGCGAAGGAGTTCAAGCCTGAACGGTGGATTGAAAAGGATGGCATCCCGCAGAGCGGGCTAGATCTTCAGGGATGGAACCACATTTTCAGTTTTTCGAACGGGCCCAGACTGTGCTTGGGAAGAAATTTTGCCATTGCTGAGATCAAGGTACGTGACGGGTTGAATCAGTTTGTTGAATCACATAATCCGGGGCCTAATGAAATCTTCTCAGGCTGTACTGTCGGTCCTCGTCCGCAACTTTGCATTTGAACCTCGCGATGGAGCGGATTCGAAAATTGACAAGTATACGTCGTTATTTACCAGACCGAAGTTGGCAGGAGAGACCAAGGCAGCTCTGCCATTGCGTGTTCGCAGGCTAACATAATTTACCTATGTTTTCTAATCATCATTGTATCTTCTCCGTTGTATATTTATGGAACCCCATCTCCGTGTCAAGAGCGTCAGCATGTTGCTGAGAAGGACACCATCCAGCTGTCATGGCCGCGCAACCGACTAGTGTTAACAGAGGCTGCCGTGGTGTAGTGGTAACATCGCACCTTCCCAAGGTGTGGCGCCGGGTTCGATTCCCGGCGGCAGCAGTGTCTTAGTTTTTCACTTTTGCCTGACCAGCGCATTGGTCAACCGATCCTCCTCTCAGAGGTGTGAACAAGGTATACTTTTATGAGACAGCAGTACAACACATAAATTCATTGCCAGCAAGGGGATATCGTGACCTTCCGCAATATCATACCGGAGTGTTCAACTCTAGCGTCGCTGCCACAGTGAAACGAATAGACAACAAAGTGTGAGAGCGGCACCGGCGAGTCGAATTAAGGAGAATGAGTCGCCTTGTTGTTTCGGAGGTACTACTATAGGAATCGTCTTGGTTTCCAACCGTGACGGGTTTGTGGTAGGAGGATTTCCTCTGTTCGTCACGATCACAGCAGTGTCATCGCTCGATATCTGGAGTTCCGATATCAATAGTGTCAATGGTGTCACATCCGCTGTGTGTTGTGCATCATTAGGATCGCTCGTCGAACCAGCGGTCGTTTCTATGTTTGCTGTCTGCTGTGCATCATTGTGGTCGCCTGTCCAACTAGCTGTCGTTTCCACGTTTGTGGTCTGCTCTGCGTCGACGGTTTCGGAGTCAACGACGACGACCGAAGCATCCACAGTTTCCGATGTCGTTCCGCGCTCGCTACCACTTCCAGAAGTATGATTGTCTTGCTCTTTAGCACATATGATCACTGAGCGTTCGCCTGTCTCATCTGTCTGCGGCTCGTCCGCTTGCTCCACCAAGGTGGATGCCTCCGAAAGAGACGAAGGACTTAAGGGACATGCGGCGACTTGGCATACAGGGTGAACCACGATTGGGCCATCATCGACGGTAATGAAAGATGTCAGTTTACTGATCAATTGATGGTCTTTGCTCAGGTTGATGATCATTGCTTGGCCGGCTTTCTCACTGGGAGATGAACTTGTGGACGCCTTCTGTTTCTTATTCCCAGGATAAGAATCTTCAAGCTCCCGAAGGACACTTTTGGCGGCCAGTGTATGGATGGGGAGCTTTACCTCCCGGGGAGTCTGCATAGTCGTTACGGGGGCCCGGAATTCGACAGTGCGTTCACTAGGCAGAGTGAGACGAAGAGTAACGAAGTTGGGCACTTGAGTAGTTTGAGGTAATACAGTGTAAACCAGGACTCTGTTGTCTGGATAAACATCAGAGACGTCCAGTGGGCTGCAAGTAGGAAAGACGGCGTTCTCCCATTCATACTGTATAGTGCGCATGCTGGGTGAAGCCTTGGCCGCGGCCAACAGTTTGCCGCATTTTCCGGTGAGGGCCTCCGTTTCTGTGGTCATGATGCATAGACCGTGGCCGGCCCGAGCAAGATCTTCACACAGAGCGCTTGACGCATTCTGCCCGATCCCCAAAGTGAATATCCTAACGCCTCCCGACGAAGCAGCGTCTGCCGCTGAGATGTGGGATCGAACAGACGAGATGACCGCGTCCGAATTCCAGATCTGTCAGAGATCAATGTCGTGATATTCCCAATTCAAGGATCACTCACGTCGCCGCTGGTTAGCACGAATATTGCGGTCGACACAGGACGTTTCCTAGTTCTGAAAACGTGTCTCAAAACACCCCCGAGGTCGATTCCTCCCATGTCGGCATTCATGAGATTGACATGACTAGTCTGTGCCCAGAACGATGAGTTCGATGTAGGTATGCTAGGAGATTGAGATGCTTACCGCAAGATACGTGTTCCATTCGTTGTAGGGCCGACTGGACTGCCAGAGAGATGAAAATGAAGCTCCAAAGCTGATCACGTTGAAAAGAGTCCCCTCCGAAGGTAGATGCTTTAGCAAGAAATCCGCGGCTCTCTTTGCTGACCCCATTCTTTCATTCGCCTGCATGCTATCGCTACGATCGATTAAGAAGATATATTCTTGCTTCGAAACAAGGTCAGGGTCGAAGCGAGGGACCAATGCCAGGGCCATGGCCACTGTATTGTTGGCAACGTCAACCTCAGCGATACATAGAGGTTCATCTAACTTGTCGGTTTGCACGGACAAGACGAACTCATTATCGAGAAAGACTGGAAGTGTGTTTGGGTGCAGCACGACGATCTGGTGAGTGGGAGTAACAGATGTTGTTTGTATGAGATGGGACGAAGAAGATATATTTTGAATTGTTGATGTCATTTGAACATCGACTTCGACAGAAAATAGGACATTGTGACCGGTTGACGACCGAGCGTCGATTGATGGTGGAGGTGAACCGTACCTCTGCCCAACAAAAGCAGGAAGAGTAAACCGGAGTTGATGTGGGAGCTCGTCCTCTAAAAGGGGAGTGACGTACTGGATCGTATAAGTTGATTTATCGTCATCAGCGAAAATCAACGAATGACTGACGTTTACTGTGATCTCTACCTCGTCATTTTCAGGGACGGCACTGATCAAAGTGACAAAAACTAAGAAGAATGAGGGAAGGAATAGGGAATATATTGAAAATCACCGACCATCGGAAGTCACTTCATTGAGAACACTAGCCCACTTCCCTTTAGCGAAAGCGGTTTGGAAGTCAGTTTCAGCTTCTTTACTGTCTTTGGCCACAGCTTTCAGAACTTTTTCTTTGGAAGGGCGCATTTCAAGCCCACAGACGGTGGCATGAGCAGGTATTGGGAATATGTGTCGAACAGAAACAGGTTCTGAACCCCGGAAGTTGTTGGAGTATCGCTGGGTCAATTTTACATGCGCGTACACTGCAAGACGATGAGAACTGAGACGTAATCAGATGAGCGAGGCTCAACTATCGCCAAGCGAAACACTAGCAGAGACTGACTTGAGGAGGAAATCCGCGCCGTTGGCGGTAACAAGACCAAAGGCCTGACGGGGATTCATCATATACCGATTCTCACAAGGTTTATCTATACGCCATCGTTTTTTATAGTGGCGGGCCAGCGTGAACGCGCCTATGATGCAAGGCCCACCATGAATCAAAAGCATGTCGATGCAGTGCGTCTGAAGAGTGCAGATCTCGTATGTCCTTTAACTGTCGCCAGGATTTCGCGTAAGGCACGCCCACTCTGGTTTAGGGGTGCTCTCTGGAACTTCGCATTGAAGGAATAGTCTGGTCTGACATGAACGTGAAGAGGGGATTGGCATGAAGGACCGATACATAGATCTCCCCAAAATTTATCGCGTCCATTTCATATCGAATGATAGGCAGAGCGCTTTTGATTATGAAGAGTCGCCATTCATCCTCAGTATCATCCTGCGATGGCATTCATTTCGAGAGTTCGTACTCTCGTAGTGTCCACGACTTTAATAGTGAATGGGTGCGAGGGGGACAATGAAAGTTTCCTCCGGTTCAGGCATGCCGTCAAGAGAATGTTGAAGTTTTTTTGGGCCTGGGGAACACGGTCTCGTAGAGATAGGCATAGAGCAAAGATGGGTCGACTGCTGTATGAAGGCGGAAAACAGGTGGAGCAGATTCCGACGATGCTGAGTCAGCACATAACTTCTAGGCCCGAACGTTGACTAGAGTGTATTTGCAACCGACTTTAGTTACATTTAGTTTAGCTCCACAACTAAAGCCAGTGCCCCACTTGACCAAAATACGGCAAAACGGAGTCAAAAGTCTTATGTCCGAACACCAATTGTGCATTTCGGAGTCTGCCCTCTATCAGGCATCGAGCTCGTCGCCGGTCCCTTGGCCGTCTCTGTACCTGCACTGCGTTGTGTATGGTATTCATCGTCGTCAGCAGCATCTCAAAGCCGCATAAATCTCTTCCATCGCGTCGATGGCGGGTCTTCAAGCCCAGCAGTTGCTACTGCTTCAGGAGTGGACAAGAGACGATGTCGAAGAGGCTCTTATAGTCGAACAAATTCACATCCTTCAACAGCAGGCTTGCGAACTGGCTCGTCTATCTGCTCAAATCGGAGCGGCTGTTGCTTCGCTCACCGGACAAACTCGTTGTCGGCCGCAGCAAGGAGGACAGAGGATCACAGAGCGTTGGCTAGAGCAGCTGGCGGAAGAGGATTGCCGCTATCGATTTGGGTGCGTGACTGACTGTGTTATTGAGTGCTTTCTAGACTAACAACACTGTCAGTTTCAGCCTTGAAGAACTGCAGGAACTGGTTCTGGCCCTCCTCCTTCCGCCTGTCATTAAAACCATCTCGCGTCACAAAGGTGTAGGGGCGATAGCCGTGGGCGAAGGCGAACGAGGGGGTGGAATTTGGGTAAAAGGGGGTGACCAGTCACGATTTTCGCTGGTTCTGCTGTTCACGGCATCCCAGAAGTGAAGTCGAGGCTTGCTAGAGCTTTGATCGTTGTCCATGCCTTGTAGAAATAGAAAGTAACCATGCTCGAATGAGCGTAGCGTACGCGAGCCTTGACACGTTGGCGGAGTTCAAAGTGACATCATAACCAAAAGTGGGGCTTTTGTAACCAAAGCCCCACCCTGAGATAACCTGAAATTCGAACCAAAACGTAACTAAAGTCGGTTGCAAATACACTCTACTGCAAGGCAAATGCCACTCATTATGACTCGTATACTCGTTCGACTGTGAGATCTTGTTTGTATCAGAACGGAATGCGTTCCAATTTAAACGTCTGTTCCCCGCTCAGATTCTCTTCAAACATGGGTTTGACTCACTCAGCTCTCAGGTTACACACGGCTGCCGTTAACCACTTTTCATGGGCGGCATTCATAGTGTCTAACGGCTTCTATGTCTGGCTGGATATCCTCTTGATTGATTTCCCTACGAGCCAAACCGAAGACTACGTCAACCGCAGAATTAAGATGCCACCTTGCATGTACTGTCGCACAGAATCGAAGAACTTGAAGTCCCTGCGCCTGGAAGCCCGCGAGAATCGTTGAGAAAGAAGTTGGCCAATCCTGACATGAAACCCACAACCCTTCATGGCGTTCCGTTACGACAGATAGATTCAATTGCAGCGTTCAATGCTATGTTTACGGAATACGCTGTTCTTCCTCAAGATGCGATTAAGATCGGTGGAAATGCAATATCTCGCGTTTCTCTGTGCATTAGAGAGTTGCATCATCACCGGACGTTGGACGCTGCGCGTACTACT